AGTGAAGTGAATGGGATTCAAATAATACATGTACTCAGAAAGGATCTGCTCTTACAATCAGCCCCTGACACAGACCCTAGGTGACCAAAATGATAGCTTGCATCAAATGATTATTTCTAGAAGAGCCAGTATCTCTTTCAGAGTATACCACATAAGAGACTACATTTAAAGAGAAAATTTAGCTGGGTTTTTAAGTGGAGAGTTATCATTATCTTGCAAGCAACTTTGCATATTATTGTAGCCAGTCGGGGCAGCCAGGAGCCAGGTTCAAAGTGAGAGCCTTTGGCAGGGCTGAAAACTTTCATCAAGCTTCAGCCGGGTTAAAAAAAAAAAAAAAATTCTGCCAAATCGTTCTTTCAGCAGAATGACTTTGTTCCATAGATTTCAGTTAATCACAGCAGGAGACAAGACCTCAGGAGAAGGGTCTGGCCATCCATCCTGTGATCTCCACTTAATGGCTGCAGGAGTGAAATGAGAAAACAGAGAATTTTGTAGGCAACAAAAGTGGGGACAGGGTGTAAATATAGAGGGTTTTGAGTTAGGAAGATTCTGTTGGAATTTAGTTATTTTTCCTATTTGTGACCGAAATGATCGGAGGAGAGCCTTTGAGGGCAGATAGGGTAGGATGGAGGATGCAGCAGGCCAGGCTGCAGGTGCATTGCATCCTGCAGGGTAGATCGTGTTTAAACCTTGGACAGTGCAATACTTTGAATAATGATAATAATAATAGCAGCACTGATATGGTGGGAGGGGTTTAAATTCATAAAGCAGTTTTGAGGTAAGAGTTTAAGAAGATACTCACTAAGCTAGAATTATTAGTCATGTTGTTAATTTCTGACCAGGGAAGCTGGTTAGTCTAGGCAGCTCGGCTCAGGGGAAGGGGATGCAGAGAAGAGGGGGAGGGGAGCAGCTGGCCCTTGGTCACCCAGCTCGAGCTGTGGCCCTGGCACGACAGTGCAGAAAGCAGAGCTGGGCTGAGGGGCTGAGGCATGTGGACAGCCGAGGCTGGGCTACATGTCCCTCTGGGGTGGGCCGCACTGCTCTTCTTGGTCTCACTCCACGTAGGTGTCCCCTTGCCAGCCCTTTAGTGAACAGAGCAGTTTTTTGAAAGCATAAACCAGATCACGTTCCTCTTCTGTTTAAAACCATCCCATTGCACATGGACACTTGACAGCTTTGTCTCCCTTGTTGCTTCAGTATATGCCCCACCTCCTCCATAGAATGAGGTCTAGATATAGTCAGTATTCCCCCAGGCACTGGAGATGAGACAGAAGAAGACTGTGACCGCCTAAGTTCTCTCTACGTTCCATCTGCGTGCCCTCCATGAACAGGGTACACCTGGAGGCCTGGTTATATGGCGCCGACACTGGACACTGCTTACTCAGAAATGGAATGTCTGAGATCTTTAGTTCATCTTACAGCTGAGGAAGCTGAGGCACAGAGGAGGCAAGTGACATCTTAAGCGAGTGCCAGGGCTGGACGAGAACTCACATCTGACTCCTGACCCGGCAACGCTGATGCCCTCGACTGACGGACAGCTCTGCAGCTGGAAGGGCATTGAAGGCTGGCAGGGAAGAACGGCAGAGCCCGGCAGGTGGGAGGGCGTAGAGGAGGCAGCTGGTAGAAAATGGAAAGGCCATGAAGAGTCAAAATATGCATTCCCCCTGGCCATGTCCCCAGGACAGACGGGAGTCCCAGGTGCTCTTTAACAGAGGCATAAACAGTGACACAGAAAAACTACACAGAGGGATTGACCCAAGGCCAAGACGTGTCATTTGTGCCTAATGACTAAGCACCCTGTTTATTTGGATTCTTAACCTTGCTCTGTCCTTTTAAGTCATGTGAGACCTTCTCCGCCATTCTTCTCTTGTCATTTGGTTTGTGACTCCAGTTTAGAATCTCTCTGCCTATTTGTCTCAGGTTCTAAGCTGGAGGGAGATAAAGAAGGTGATGATGAACTTGGACCATGTGACTTGCCTGCAGCGTTTTGCTGCTCTTCAAAGGGGCTGTAGAGAAGCACAGTGAGCAAATTCATGAGTCAACATTATACTTATCCCTCTTTTGTGAGGAATACTCCTCTACTTCTTGTGTGAAGTGTAATCATTTGTTAGCTTTAGTAAGACATCTCTCTGCCCACTGATAAGGAAACAAAAAGGCATTTACTGTGCTAGTCTCTAGAATGTGAAGTGTAGGCTGTGGTCTTTTTTTGTTTGTTTGTTTTTAGCTTTCATTTATGATCACAGGCTCAAGGGTTGAAGGGGGCCTTGGAGGACTGCCAACCTCACCACCCCCTTCTGTGCAGGAAGCCCCTTCTCAACATCCTTGCCAGTGGTTCATATCCCTTCCCCCTGCATCCCCACTGCGAGTTGCCTCTACCTCTGTCATAACACTTACTTCATTTTGCTTAAATTACAGTTATTTGAGGACTTTTTTTAAGTCTCAGCTGTGAGTCCCTGAGGGCAGGAATCCTGTCTCTTTCCTCTTTGTCTTTGATCTCCCACAGCCCCCAACACAAAGCCTGGCCCACTCTCCATAAATATTTGAAGGAGTGACAAGGTGTTTACAGCCTCCAGAGGCAGCCACAGTTCAACATCTCTAATAGCTAGAAAGTTCTTCCTAAAAGTGAGCAGAAACGCACCTCCCCAACTTCCCTGTGGGGGGAGAGTATAAACAGCCAGTGATGACAAAGGGCCAGGCAACCATAAGATGCACACGAGAGACCCCGGGGACAGGCCACACCCTGTCTTATTGCTGTTCTTGCTTCCCTTCTGGCCAAAGGATACGAAGGTCTTTCCCATGACAGGAAAACCCAACCACACTAGATAGAGTTGGAGAAATGTGTGTGGCGTGGGGAGGGTTCCCAGGATTCAAATCCAGTTTGGAAGGGCAGCTTTACTAGATGCTGCCATTGTCCCACTCATATCCCCTCAGTCCTCCCCGAGGGTCATCTGCAGACCGTTCCCATGCACAGCGACAGCTTCCTGTGTTTCTCTGCCCATGGTCGCTCTCTGACCTGGGGACTATGCTTGGCCTGTGTGTAGGTCAGGCTGGAAATGCCAGGGAGTAACTCCAGGAGAGACCTTCAACCATGAGTGATGGGACTTGTGCATAAATACCCCAGATCCCTCATCTCCCAGTGGGATGCTCAGACGTGTGTTCTACGCAGTCCCTCAAAGGTTTCAGGAGAGATGACCCCCAAATGCTCACAGCAGTAATCCACTAATGGACACATCCTTTCTTTATTTGCCTCCCTTCCCTCGTTGACTTGCCTACTCCCTCACTGTGCTTTCTGGGATCACACCCAAATAAACAGTCTGCCCCAAATCCTTGTTTCAAGGTCTGCTTTGGGTGGAACCCAAGCAGGAAATTTGGTGGAAATCCTAATGTTAGTCTCTTAAAAGACAGAGCTATTAAAATTAGTATATGTCTTTTATCCCCCCGTTTCTTTCCTTCTATTTCTAATTCAGAGTTGGTTTTTCTGTCAGTTCTATAAATAGAGTTTAATTTTAAGAAGAATCTGGGTCCTAACTCAGAAAACAGGACTGATAATGATTCCTAAGTCTTTGAAGGATAGTTATTTCAAATAATAAGAGTTAGTAATATTCTAGTTCTATTAAGGAAACGTACTAGTCAGAAAGGTCTCAGGCCAGACTAAAGAAAGAGGTTACGCATGGGGATCATCAGACATCAGGATGGATTTGTGTTCAAGTGCTTCACTTAACCTCTTAAACTTCCACAGAGACCTTTTAAATGAAGAGAGACCTTATCAACCTGGCTCAGGTTTGGGATGGAGTGCTTGAGGTCAGGACAGCGAACATGAATGCGGACCATGAGGAAGAGGGAAAGGAAAATAAAGAACCTTCATTAAACTTACCCATTATTAATGAACTACCGCTGAGCTAATAGAGCCAAGAGAAAATGCCGTTACCGAAGAATATTTATTATCATATCAGAAGATTCATAACAACAGAGGTGTGCAAGCAACCTGCCACCCTAGTCCTCCTTCAGACAGACATTGTGTGAGTCAGAATAGCTCCCTGTAGGTGCTACAATGTTACTTGGTTGTTTTGACACCTCCGACAATTAATAGGAGGTAGCAGTTAAAAATAATCATGCTCATTACTGTCTTTGTGCGTTTGTGGGTTTTTTTGTCTTCTTTCCTCCTGTAGAGTTTTCTGCTGGCCTAGTAAGGAATGACACACATGGTCATGAATTTTTAATTGACAATCAAAGATGGGAAGGAATGTAAACAAAACACAGGGTGAGAGGAGTCAGCAGGGCCAGGAGAGCCCCACAGATGCCTTTTTGGGGTCAGGTGGGGAGATGTTCCTAAGTCACGTAGGGATAAGAAAGGGCTCCACAGGTCTTACTTTAAGCGTGGATATTGTGGCTTCATATGCTCTATTTATTTATTCACCTACTCTCTTGGTGGGGGTAGGAACAGGGGGCAGCAAAGTCTTCACTTAGTGGTAGGAAGATGTGTGGTCATGCTGTGACGTGTGTCCTTTGCCCTCTTTGATGAGCACTGCTGCCCTGTTGTAGTTGGCAGTAATGCCCTGGGTACAGCTCTCTCCTGAGTTGAGAGAGGTGCCTTTGCCTCCTCAGGCTTTTGCCCTGGTCTGAGCCGTTGCTTCCGGAGAGAAACTCTTGGAAGTACCATGCTGTCCCCATGGCGTGACCTCATAAGATGATTGTGAGGGTCATTAAGGCAGTCCATGTAAAGTGACTGCACTCGTGGGCATTAATGGTTGGCACAAAAACTATGTTGGTCCTCAAAATGAAGGGGCTCAGTTACTGTACCTGCCATCTGCTGAAATTCATAATATAAACAAAGACCTCCTTTGGGCTCAAAATGGATATGTTAATGTGGCCGATACCGGCCTCTCTCAAACTTTTTGTTTTGGGTAGCCTCCTTCCCCACGTATTCCCCCAGCCCAGGGTGCTCTGTGGGTGCCTTTTCAGCCTGCCCCACTCAGCACCCGCTCTCCCTTGCTTCCCAGAACGCCTATGTCAACATCAACCGCATCATGTCCGTGGCTTCCCGCCTCTCAGAGGCCGGCCACTACGCCTCGCAGCAAATCAAGCAGATCTCCACGCAGCTGGACCAGGAGTGGAAGAGCTTCGCGGCTGCTCTGGATGAGCGCAGCACCATCCTCGCCATGTCTGCTGTGTTCCATCAGAAGGCTGAGCAGGTAAGGCCAAGGGAGCTGCTGTGGCCTCTGGTGGTGGGAGGGGCAGGGGCAGGGGCAGGGCAGGGCAGGCTTGGAGGACATACACTGAGGTGTAGAGAGACCCTCCTCTCTTTTTGAAACACCAAAGACCGTGCTGAGTAGTTTTGACAACAGCCCATGTTCTAGTACTGTCATGGCCCCTGTGTACCCAAAGAGACATTGGTAACTCTTGGAGGCTTTGCTTAACATTCAAACAGGAAGAAACCCAGAGCTAACTATTCTGCTTAATAGTTTATCGTTGGACGTGTGTGTGCACGCACGTGCACGTGTGTGTGTGTGTGTGTGTGTGTGTTGACTGCTTAGTTTGCATTCCATAAGCATAGACCAAAGGGGTGAAACTAAACTGATCATTGAGTGCTGAGAACAGGGGGAAACTAATTTTACATGAAGCATTTGCTGTGGATAATAATAATGTAATAATAATACAGTGAACAGAAATAATAATTACTTGTTGCCATTTACTTACTGGCATTGGCCAGTGACATTACTAACCCATTTTACAGAGAGGAGCAGGGAAGCTCAGAGAGATTAAGTAAGCTGCCTAAGAGCCAGTGGCATGCAGGAGCTGACTCTAACCAGCTTAGGGAGAGCCAATGGTTAAATTTTCAGGAATTTTATGAGCTGGTTGTTAAACATAGCCATTACTTTAAACTATATAAATTTAAATTAAATATATCACATTAAAAGCAAAGGTAATAAATACTCAAAACTCATCATTTTCAATTATTTTACTAGATTTTATTATTTTCTATGTTCTTGAGATTATTTCTATGTTATATACTCTCTCTCTCTCTCTCTCTCTCTCTCTCTCTCACACACACACACACACACACACACACACACACACACACCAATAAACTACCAAGCAGAATGTAAATAGGCTCTGGGTTCCTTCCTGTTTGAATGTTAAGCAAAGCCAGCAAGAGTTACCATTTGTCTCTTTGTCAACATTTATGTCTGTGGTAATAGTATACAGTTGTGTGCTACTGATCACCTCATCCCAACTACATATTTGGTGATGTTGCAATGGTAGCCTGAAACAGGGCAAGATAAAAGTTTTACACCATGGAAATCATCAAGTGTTAGAAACCAGGGCTTGATTTGTTGTTTTATTGATTGTCTAGAATCTTAAGAAAATGAGAGAGAAAATATTTTAAAATGCAGATTAAGCCTAAAAATGTGCCCTGTGTATAGCTGTTGCATTGTGAATAGAACACAAAATCAAGGAAATAGTCTTCTGATATTCAAAAACTATTACTGCATTTAGCAGAGAAGCCACTTAAAATCACTGATGAATGAGGAATGTTCTGACATAAGTCTCCAGGTATTTTTCACTTTTGTCTTACATCTTAACAAAAGTGAAAGTATCAACCAGCTTTTGTGTTGGAACTATATAAGTTTGTTGTTTACAAACAACAGCATATGTGAGAATCAGTTAATTACATGGAATTTATCATAAGCATTCTAAGTGTTATTATTCTTTGTAAATTATGTGCTACACGTCTTTTATAGCAGTAAAGTTTATAACACTTGTGTGTGTATTACATACACACATATATGCTGGTTATTAAAAGTTTATTAATATACCCTTGTGAAAATCACACAATTAATCGATAGGCATCTGGGATCAGGTGTGTCTAACATTAAAGCCTATGGTCTTAACCCCTAAATTTCTTTCTTTGTATGACATTTGGATAGCTCACAGATAACACAGAGTCAGACACAAGGTTATACCTTAAAACTCTTCCTCTGTTACCCACCTAACATGGAACCAGCATGGAATAATTGAAAGAGTCTAGGTGTCGGGCTTCCCTGGTGGCGCAGTGGTTGAGAGTCCGCCTGCCGATGCAGGGGACACGGGTTCGTGCCCCGGTCCGGAAAGATCCCACATGCCGTGGGGCGGCTGGGCCCGTGAGCTATGGCCACTGAGCCTGTGCGTCCGGAGCCTGTGCTCCGCAATGGGGGAGGCCACAACAGTGAGAGGCCCGTGTACCGCAAAAAAAAAAAAAAAAAAAAAAAGAAATAAAGAGTCTAGGTTTTGATGCCAGACACAGGTAAGTTCTAATCATTAACTCTTAGGCAGGTCACCTCAACATTCTGAGCTTGTTTCCTCGTCTCTAATGTGGGGATGATCATAAATCTCACAGCACTGTTACAAGGATTAGAGATGGAATATATTAGGTGCTTAGTGTGTTTTTTAAATGGTAGACATCACCAAAGATCTGTTGGTATCTTTGTATTTCCTCCACCTGTGTCTGTTTCCATCTGAGACCTTCCCAAAGACTGAAAGTACTTGTGTTATAAGTCAAGAGCAGCCCTACACATTGAGAGGAATCTAGCCTTTTGTTGTTGTTGTTTTTTTAAGATGATGGTGGTAGTACCTGAGAATATTGATGTCTGATCTCCTGTCCTCTCTTCAACCTATTATTTGCACACTTTGTTCAAGGTTTCTCCAGATTGGCAAGGGAGGTTCAGTGCCTCCCTCTGTCTCTGTCTTTCTCTCCTTGAGATGACCGTTTCGTGGGATCCACTATAGGACTCTGGTTAGAGTATTACAAAGAAATCCCAAAGACCTTGAAGAGGTGCTCCCCCCACGACTGACACACACTGTCAAGTTACTTCCAGGTCCCTTTATGAAATGGTTGTTGGTGGAGCAAGCAGCTTCTGAGGCATTAGCAAGCACGTGCAGCCTGATCCTGGGCGTCACCCAGCACTCTGCCAGCATCGTTAGGAGACGGCTTACTGCGATCAAAAACACACAGAATGAAAAATCCGCTGCCACAGCCAGGTGGCTAAGGACTGAAAGCTGACGCGATACCAAGAGGGGGACTCAGGCAGGTGTAGAAACGCAATACCCGGATTGAGAGTAACTGGAGGACTCAGCTTCTATTTGCTGTTTCCTGACTTGGATTAGTTTAGATGAGAAGCAATTTTATTTGTATCTGTTTTTTAATGCAATTTCTCGGGTATTGCCAGTCCTTCAGGGAAACTCATTAACCATGCTTCTTTTTAGCTGGAAAGCACACACACACACACACACACACGCACACACACGCATGCAAACAGTGGATTCAAGGCTAATTTTTCAATGCATTTATGTAGGCAGCTCTTTATTGTCCTCAGATGGGCTGTTCTAGGCAATGAGATAAAAAGGTATTTAGGCAATTAATTTAAATGGAGCTGTGCACCCAGGCAAGAAGAATCAGACAGAACCACTCCAGACTGTTGGGTGAAGAATTATTTGCATTTTAGAGGTGTATTTTCCACCCAATAAATCTGAGTGATTTCAGTTAGCTCACCCTTTGTGCATGGAGACCCATAGTCTCCCACAGTTGTTAATTTTAATTTTTAAATAATTTGATGTCTGTCAAGATCTGTATCTATATATCACAGCCCAGGAGCCACTCTAGACACAGTACAGTCTGTCCCGCTGAGCTGCCCTCCCCTCTCCCACCCCTTGGGGTCTGGCCCAATAGCAGGGATCTTTTTGAGTGTTAATCTCCATCCTCTGTCGAATGGTCTCTGCAGGTTCCCTGGGGTGCCTGATGGGCCTGAATGAGGCATTCTTTGCTACTCTTCACAGCTCAATGTCCACACTATAAAGCACATGTGTGGAAACATCCCATTTCATTATATGTTGCCTCTCACTTGTACCTGTGAGTGTGCACAGGACAAGAAGCTCTCACGTACACATGTCATGTAGTGAGCTGTTTGCACACCTGTATTTTATCATCAGTGTGTGGATATAACCTGTTGAACATGAAGACAACTCCCATCCCCAGCAGTTTCATAATAGTCATCTTTCTTTGTGGAAACCATACTTCCTAAACAGGTACTGGGTCTGACTTCTTACCTGGGGTTGGTGTTTGTAAAATTAAAGAAAAAACTCCACTGTCTGCAGTGGTCTCTGAAGGCTTCCAGAGTTCCTGATGCTTCTTCCCAAGGTATCTGACTGTCTGTACGTAATCTGCCCATTGCCCACCCCCAGTGCTCCCACACTGACCCAGCCGGCATCTCCTTCCAGTTCCTGTCGGGAGTGGACGCCTGGTGCAAGATGTGCAGCGAAGGTGGCCTGCCGTCTGAGATGCAGGACCTGGAGCTGGCGATCCACCACCACCAGTCCTTGTATGAGCAGGTGACCCAGGCCTACACAGAGGTGAGAACCCAGCGGACACCCAAGGGTTCTGGCTGTGTATAGGGGTATGGGGGTGTGGCAAGAGTACTGGCCTGTGTGCTACGAAATAGCCTGAGTTGGACTAAGAAGAAGAGAGGCCATTTTTCTCCCTCTGGAGACATCTTTAAGATCTTTGATCTGTTAATGATGATGTCGAAATGCAGCCATTGGCAGGAACTGCCTTAGTGCACATGCGTGTACGTACACACACACACACACACACACACACACAC